GTTGCCAACAGAAAACCAACAGCATGAAACAGGAAGTGATTGTTTGGCGAGGTGACCTTCAGGTTAAAACTGTGACAGAGAACCAATCAGAGTGAACCCTCCCGCTTTGCTGAAAATCCCATTTCATCTTGAGAAGAATTGATCAAAGTGAGCCCTCTCTGTTCATAAAGGATCTGTGTTGTTTGTATATGCTGCAGACGTCTGTGTGTATATTTGTGCTCAACACTAGAGGGCAGCACTTCAGTCACATTCAGCTCACATCTCTTATCCAATCAGGCGACGGCAAAGGGGTGGGCCTGTGCTCTGATTGGTTGCTCTCAGTGACTCACTGCTGGGCTTTTGTCTGTTCTGGACCATTTCACTTCAGGCCTTTGTTGAATGTGTCGATGATGTCATTCAGGGGCAGGGCCTTGGGGGTGAGGGGGGGGGTTGATGCTGCCTTTTTATTACTGACTCATCTTTTCTATGTTTGCCTCTAAAGGGCTTCTGTGGAGTTCAGGGACTCACCTGGATGTTCAGGTTGGGGGCGGGGTCACGTGAAGGGGGCGGGGTTTGTGTTCATTGATCCTCATTGATTTTTATGTGACTGTTTTGAGCCAATCGTCTTCTCTCATGCATTCCTGTCAGAGGGCAGACTGTACTGAAGATTTCAACACAAAATGCAAATAAACGTTGTTATGATGACGACCACTCAGCTTCTTCCTTGTCTGGTCAGTGACGCTGTGATGACGTCAGAAACAGGAAATACCATCTGTACTCTTAGATTACTGCTCATCATCGGTTCTGGTTCTGGTTCTGGTCAGTTCTGCGGTTTCCATGTCCAAAAGGTCCAGCCGAGTTCTGAAACGGTTCTATTGGGCTGAACGGACCCGGTGTTACAGAAAAATGTGTGCCAGGAGGCGATGGTGTCCAAATCAATACTGATGCAGCTGGAGTTGTATTACCGTCACACTGATGGAGACAATATATTTGTTTATGAGGCGGAACAATGACCATCGAATCGAATCGCTGTGGAATATGGAAACCAGCTGGTTGTTTAGTAAATCGGCAACTGATTAAGAAATGGATCACACTGGTCGCAGGTTGTTCTGGCCAGAATAATCGCTCTATTGCGATTCCCTGCGGTCACAGAAAATTAACACTCAGATTTTTCTGTAACAAGCCACCAACTGGTAATGAGTGGAACACGACAAAACAAAAGTTTCTTTATGTGACTTATCTGGGGGTTATAAAGATCTCTCTAAAAAGAATTTTGTACCACTTCTTGAAAATACTAAATTAGAATTTCAAAGGTGGAACAATCTGCCGCTATCGTTAATAGGCCGTGTCAGTTCTATAAAAATGAACATATTGCCTAAGTTCCTTTATTTATTTCAGTCTATTCCAGGTTGTATCCCAAAGGAATTCTTTGTGACACTAGATAAACATGTCTCTGCTTTTATTTGGAATAATAAGTCTCGCAGAATACGTAAAGATTTCATGCAGAGGCCTAGACCTATGGGTGGATTGGCTTTACCAAATTTCCAGTCTTATTACTGGGCTGCAAATATACGAAACATGCTATATTGGTTTAGTGAAGCCAACCCCATCTTGGCTTCAGATTGAGTCGTCTAATTGTGGCTAGGCTAGCTTACCTGCTTTGTTGACATCTGCTCTCCCTTTAGAGATCTGTACCTATAAGTGCAACCCTATAATATATAACTCCCTTAGAGTCTGGGTGCAGTGTAGGAAAAAATTGGGGTTACACTTGATGTCAATTAATACTCCTATCTGTTCAAATCATATGTTCCCACCCTCTATATCTGATTCTGCCTTTAAAGTTTGGGAAAGTAATGGACTAAGTAAAGTTAAACACCTTTTCATTGATGGGATTTTTGCTTCATTTGCACAACTCGTGGAACAGTTTCACATTCCACATGCACATTTTTTCCACTATTTACAACTGCTGCATTTAGTGAAAAATAAATGTCCCTCATTTCCTGAATTGCCTGAGGAAACAGCTCTGGATGAAATCATAGGTATAAACAGCCATCAAAGGGGGGTGATTAAAAAAGATCTATACCATACTGCTAGATCTACAATCTCCTTCTCTTTCCATTATTAAGTCACATTGGGAGAAAGATCTTGCAATCACATTAACAGATGAGCTCTGGCAATCTATTCTGCACAGGGTTCACTCCTCTTCTATATGCGCTAGACATGGCCTCCTCCAGTTCAAGGTGCTGCACCGGTTGCATATCTCTAATGAAAGACTAGCTAGGTTTTATCCAGGGAATGATCCCTTATGTCATCAATGCAGGTCAGAAGTCGGTTCTCTTATTCATACTTTCTGGGCGTCCAAAGCTTCATATCTATTGGTCATCAATATTCAATACATTCTCAGAAATATACAAAGTTACATTTGGTCCTTCTGCTCTAACTGCAATCTTTGGAGTCACACCCCGAATGTTTTACTGTCCAAGAATGATTCAAATCCAGTAGCTTTTGCTACGTTGATTGCAAGTCATTTACTACTTTTGAGGTGGAAACAGAAAGCTTCTCCTACACATGAACAGAGGCTTGCAGAGCTCATGAAACTTTCACATTTAGAAAAGATAAGATATACACTGACAGGCTCAACAGCCAAATTTATCAAAACATGGCAGCCATTTTTACAATACATGGAAACATTCAAGATGAATACCTCATCGTAACCAAACTTTTGTCATATTTTTCTAGTCAGCTGTCAACAGATTTTTGTTTTTCGTTTGTCTCTATTTTTTGTGTGCATGTTTATTTTTGTTTGTGTTTTTGTCACGTTTTGGGGCTTTACTTGTTAACAGCGTTGTATAAAACATAAACTCTGTAAGGAACATGCTGTGAAAATTGATAAAGTATAAAAAAATTAACTAAATTAAAATTTATTAACCGAACTTTAAAAAAAAAAAAAAAAAAAAGTTTCTAAGAATTAAATTTAGCCTGATGTCCTCCGCTTCCTGAATCTTTATGCAACACCAATTAGACATTGCTGTTGCATCAATAGCAGGACCAAGATTGCGAAGTAACTTGTTTCTCTGAATACGGTCATTTCTGCAATCCACAATAAGGTTAGGACCGGACCGGATCGGACCGGACCGGACCGGACCGAGACGCAGGAGGAGGTCAGCTCCAGTAGCCGTGTAATGAAGAGGCCTTCATTACAGAGTTAATTTATTCAATGTATTGTATAGCACTGTAAAAACATTTGCACTTTCTCACTATGTACTTTATTTAGCACTGCACTTTCAAAGTAGATCTATAAATTAATAACATTTTGCACTCAGGAAGTTTTAATTGTATTTATTGAGTATTTTAGGGATTGGTGTGTAGCCTTTGTTCTGGGCTCTGCACAGCTGCTCCTCATTGGCCAGTGGAGGTGGTTAACTGTGAAGAGAGGAGAATTGATGCTCAGAGCAATGAGCTATTGGTGGATAAAACTAAATAAATGATGTGCATAATTTATTAGGTGTGGAATGTGCTAATATAGTGACTCACCTGTCTTTTTATGTGTCCTCTCAGGATGTTTGGACAAATATTGTCCTAAGGGGCTGGACAATGTTATAGGTCCTGGGAGAGACCATTGAGAAGAATGGGAGAGGGGTGTATTGTTTTATGGTGTACTGTTTTATGGTGTTTTAGTAAGGGTAAGGATAAAACATAAAAAATATTTATAAAAAGGAAGTTGATGTGGTTATAGTAAATGTATTTTATTCAATTAAGTGGAACAGGGTAAGATGGGATTCTCTTATGAATTTTCAGATTGTTTTATCTGTCACAGCTGGGACTATTTAAGATTGCAATTTTCACCTGTGAGACAGATTTTGAGACACAGACATTGAGAGACATTATAAGACTGAGATTGTGACTTGTTGTTTGTGATGCTGGGAGGAATAAACCTGCTGTTCCACCTAAACTCTGCTTAATATCATCTATCTGCACTGAAAAATCCAGCCGAAAAAGGCCAACCTGTTACAAGCCGCTTCCTGGCCATCTGAGTTCAGCTGAGGCTAATCGTGGCTTTGCAGATGATCCTGCTGATTAAAGAGATCATTAAAGTTCTTGAAGGATGAATCAGTTCGTATGTCTGGAGCAAAAGGAAGCTGGGCTGGTTACATTAGCAGCTTTCTGTGCACATGCTAGTAATATTCACTGGCTTAACAAGTGAAATTGGATTTATTGTGGATGTTCAGAACTCACTAGTTTTTATTTTCTCCACTGATAAATTCATTGCGGTTGTGTTTGATTTCAGGTTCAGGTGATTCAGTCTGGACAGTTTTGATTCTGTCAGCTGTGGCAAATAAAGCTGCTGCACAGTTCATGTTTTTGATTAAGATTTCTGCAAAAACTTTTCTCTTGAGCTTGACTCAACACTAAGACATGCAACCCTAACTTTAAAGACTTTTATTTTGTTTTCATAGTAGTAATGGCCTCCTCCTTGTGTAGATAAGTTCTCCAGAGCCTTGATGACCTAATTATTCTATTCAGCTGTGGATGCAGTGCAGTGGCCCTCCTGGACTGGAGTTTGAGACCTGTGGTCTGTGGAGCCATGGGGCCTTCTCTTGGTGAAGATGGTTGTTATCCAGGCCAGCGAGGAAGGCTGTTTTCACACCTGATAGTCCAGTAGACTTGGTTCCATTGGAGACCAAAATTGCACCATGTGTTACATTTTCAGCAGCAGTGGTTCACTTTCACACCGCTGTCAAACAATCCAAACCAACTGAAACCCTGTTTCCCCATCGCCTGTGGGGCGCTGCACCAAGAACTACTGAAGAAATCTTTGTTCACAAAAAGTAAACAAAAACGGACAGTGTCAGATTTAGAGGTTGTGGGATTTCTGCATTCACATACATTACTAGTTTGGACATCAAAGCTCACGCTGGTCCTGCAGGCGCCATGACTGAGTCTGTCCACAAACCCAGGAATCTCAGGATGAGCAGGAATCTGTCACTAAATGATTGTAGAATTACTCCAAAACAGTGAGGTCACATTTGTTTGATTTAATTTGTTTTGGTTTCACAAAACAAAGTTTAGTTTTGGATATAATCCTGTGTTGAAATATTTGGAGCAATGTCATGCAGTAGCAAGTGCGCCGCTAGATGGCAGAAGTGTGACATTATGGGTCTGACAGCGCAACATTTCTGTGTCGAAAAAGCTCCCAGTCAATCAGCTGAGCGACCAGCGCAACAACGTTGCTCCCGCGTTGCTCTCGCGTTGCTCCCGCGTTGCTCTCGCGTTGCTCCCGCGTTGCTCTCGCGTTGCTCCCGCGTTGCTCTCGCGTTGCTCCCGCGTTGCTCTCGCGTTGCTCCCGCGTTGCTCTCGCGTTGCTCCTGTTGACACAGGTTAGTTCAGTGCTAAGCAGGAAGCCGATACGTAATGAACATAACTATTAACATCATTTTATCCGGGATAAATATGATAAAAAGCGTTAGCTTTAGACCCTGTTCGGTTGTGTGTCCACCTTTTTCCTAGGAGGCTAATTATGGAAAGGGTTATGGGTCTACTTCCGGCGCCCACCGGAAGTAGCAGTATTGTAATTTGTAGGGTTTTTTGCTAATCTATTGTCATGATGGAAGTCCCATCTCTTTTCGGTTAATGCACAATATTTAGTAAAACACACCGTCTGCTGTCGGAGAGCTGCTCAGAACTGAGGCTCGTAATTGTGAGATTAATTACGGGGAGCGACAGGAACACAATAATTACCTTTTGTAACAGAATGACGATGAGTTAGCATCGCTGCTAGCAGCAAGTTTCTCTGAAGAAATGACAGAAATAAAGAGAAACGCAGAGAAGCTGGTCAGAGATCTGAGCTGCAGTTTAGCCCTGAGAGTGTAAAACAGCAGAACTACATCATATTAACTTGGTGTGAATTTCATTTGTCATTTGGCTGCAGCAAGTGTGTCTTATTGTTATGTTAGCAATACATTTTTATGAAACAAATCAAATATCCGGGTTTATTAGGTTCATCAGAACCTCGAGGTTCTCTGTTGCTGAATGTTGCTGCAAATCTGTGGAGAAATAACCGCAGCTGCTGGGCTTGAGACCATAATATGGACCAGAACCGAACCAATTCACACATCGACCTGTAATGGAGAGCAACCTGACACTGGAAAGTATCGCCTTGTGGAGCTCAAATAACTGTTGCTGTTCGTGGCTGTTCTCTAATAATCAGACAAAGTTTGTTTGTGGCAGCAGCAGCAGGTGTGTCTTGAACGGCTCCCAAATCAAAAAGACAGACTGTGTGTAGTTTTCATCGGCTACTGACAGATGAGGAAACAAAAAGAATTTGGCAAAAAATTCTGAACTTCAAGAGAGAAAAAATGCTTTTTGTGTGGAAGTTTTGCCCATAAATCACACAAAGCTTCATGGCGGCTGGGAATAAGGTGGATTGGGTTTGTTATTTTGTGTTGTCATTATAGCTGGCTTCCTGCTTTTTTAGCGGTCTGTTTGCATTTTCACTGCCTTCCAACTGCATCAGAGTTCACTTCAGCCGGACTGAGCCCCAGGTTTTTAGGTGGTTAAGAGTTTGATTTTTTAGTCTGTTTTGGAATTCAAATTTGCATTCACACTCACCAAAAGAATTGGACTTTCTGGAAAAATGGCTTACAATCTGATGAAAACAGGGTGTGAATACAAACTTACGATTCAGGTTTCATATACAGGAGGACTGAAACGCTTGCTGGCAAAATGTGATTATGGAAAGTCTGCATTTCAGCAAGGCATTTTATATTTTATACATTCTTTGTCAAGCTATAGCCATGGAAAAGTGTTTTGCAGGAGACAAAACAAGAACTATAATAATCGTATCTAAATGCAAGTACTTGTGAACCTCCTTTAGGCAGCGCTCATTGAGAAGGGCTTCTGATAAAACCTGATGGGATCCTTCTCTTCCCTCCAAGGGGCCAGGCTGACAGGCAACCAGGGGATAAATACATTTACAAATGTATTTGTGTTTTGTGAAAGTTTAAGCAGGATCGGGGGTGATTGGTGATAAATAATGACAAGACGCTGTTCTGCTAGAATAAATGTGTCCTTTTATTCCGCCACAGATTACAGCAAATTCATTCACACAACAAACAATACGCAATGCTTAGATTCTTTCAATCCGCTCTTACCGTGACACAGTGAACCGGAGAGTCGACAGTTCAGGGAAGAGCTGCAGCATCACATAATTGGGCGTCCGTACTCTACTCCGACGCTACTCTGACTAACTCAACAATGGGACTTTTCTGCTTTTTATACTCATTACTAAAACAACCTCGAATGACAGAAGGGAATGGCCATTTCCCCTCTTCCAGACGGGTTAGCCAATCAGAATGTTACTTCCCTGCCCAATTCAATCAACATACAGAACAAGTTCCACTTGGCCTCCTGTGGTCCATGTCTGGACCCCCTGTGGTCCATGTCTGGACCCCCTGTGGTCCATGGGCTCCAGAGGCCATGAGCATTCCTTGATTCAATCAACATACAGCACTCAACTTCTTAAAATGTGTTGAAAATGTATAAAATGAGCATGAAACATACAATTTATCAAAGAACATAGAAAATTCTCATATCAATTTGACATGTAATATGTCAATCAAATGGTTCCTTCCCTAACCCTCTATGTGTGCAAACTCCTGCTTCACAATCGCTACCTTAGCAGAGGCTTCGGCGGTGAACTTGCACACAAACCGGTGGGCAGACCCTAAGTAAACAATGTTCCCCACATTCTTTGCCATGGCAGCACAAAATGTGGGAACCGTTGAAGATGGGAACTCTGCTAACAGACGCTGATACTCATCTCCTGTGGCAAGCATGGTGGTGATGGGTCGATGGGGGACCGCCGAGTTTACAAGGGTATGTATCGAAAGACACAGCATCTATTAAGCAGCTATTAGCAACATGTACTAATAACTTAAAGCCACACAAAAAGTCTGCACCCAAAATAGGTAAAGACATAGAAGCTATTAGCAGGTCCCACTGAAACTGATGCCCATTGAAACACACAGTTACCAACTTTGATTCAAAAGTGCCAATCGGGGTGTACAGGGTGTTACTTTTGCACAAAACACCCGCTGCCTTCACCTTCACTCTGAACCAGCGATGGAAGAAGCAGAGAATGTCGTCCTGCTGTTGCTCCATCACCACAGTCATGGCTCCAGCAGGCCTTGTCTCTCCCCCCAGTCACACTTGGTAGAGGTGCATTCATACTGTAGTGCCTGGAAACCAACAACATCCAGTCCGCTTCCTCAGCCAGGGAACAATAATCCTGTGTCCGGATCCGCGGCGAGCTGGCCAGCGCGGAGCGAATAGGTGGAGGAAGCAGAAACAGATGTGTCAAAAGGAAGGAAACAAGTAGAGCCAGCATGTTCTCCATCAGGCAGAGGGCTTGTGATCCCCAAGCCGTTCAGAGAGCGCAAGCGATCATCCCGCTCCATGTCTGACAGTTGGTAGAACCGGAGCAGATTCTCCTTGCTGGGTTCCTCAGCAGACCCATCAGACGGCGGGTGGAAACTGAATCCAACGCAGCAACGACATGGAAGTACTTGGTCTCATCTGTGGTTATCCAAATGAGATGGAACTGGGCTTCCACGTGCTGGAACCATGGTTCTGGAACCATGGTTCTGGAACCATGGTTCTGGAACCATGGTTCTGGAACCATGGTTCTGGAACCATGGTTCTGGATGGTGCTGCCAGAACTCTGGAAGCCCGATAATGACGGTTGGAGCAACGGCCGCCTGCCAAGAAACTGGGTCTGAAAGCACAGCTGGTGGAGAAGCAGCGGCAGCATCTGGTGAGTTCAGCTTAAAAACATGTTCAGATGTTCATAGAGGTTCAGGTCACCACCGTGGGAGTCGGCAGAAAAAGACCAAAATACAACTTGATTTGTTCTCAGTCTCTTCCAATCCAAACCAAAAATAGAATGAAGTGTCTTCTCACCTCACCTTCTGCCCTTCACAATAAAAGCATACATTCAGGTGTGAAATGTATTCATTGATTAAGCCACAACGTAATATTAATGTTATGCCTTATCACACATTTCTATTCCAATGTGTAGGATTAGATTGTCAATAATCAGCTGATTTTCTCTGTTACTCTCCACCTTCTTTCTCTCTTCACTGCAGAAACGGTTGATTCCTTTTCCTGCCCCGAGTTTTTAGTGTAGATTTTGGTTTCTGGGTCACTTGGAGGCAGTTGGTCAAATATCTTGTCTCGGCGCTGAGGACTCAGGATTTTATTTCAAGACTGAAACTGTGGAAATATCACTAAACTTTCAACAAACAGTCTGTTCATTTGTTCACATGTTTGTTTTCACTGGATGCAAAACGCACTGATGAAAATCCAAACAATAATGTGACTTATGACGTGTTTCTGTTCCATTCTGTAATGTCATAGATTAGTGAAGCTGCTAACAGAAATGACCTTGACGACCCGGACCGGACCGGACCGGTCCAGTTCTGCAACATTGAAGCTGCGTCTTTGTGTGAAACTGAGTTTAAATGAGTTGATTCTCCTGGTGGATATTTCTCGGGTATTTTGGTTCAAACTGTTTGATCAGGTTTGATATGAATAATTAAAACTCATCAGATTCTGATATTGTCCAGCTAAATGTTGAGACGTCAGTCTGCAGCTGCTGCAGGATGAGCCGCTGCTGAGAAAAATCATTTGGCGGCTCAGAACCGACCCGGTACCGGTACCGGTCCACACTCCAGGGGAGAAAGACTCACATGGTATAAATTAGATTTTAGCTATTGGAGCTGAAGAGAAATGAATTGAATGTGTTTCTGCAGTGATTGCAGTTTTCTGGCCGATGGGCTGACCTTTGACCTGCTGATTTTGGCTCATATGAATTTATTGAGTCTCAAATGTTTCTGAATGTAGCAGCAAAGTCTAACAGTGAATATTAGCTGTAAACGTTCAGACTGACCTGGTCTGTCAGTCCAACTGTCTCTGCAGAAGGACAGAGATGATGGACATCATGATGGACATCAGATCAGCTTCACGTCAGTATCGGCCGATCACGATGCCCCAAAATGAAGGAAATCGGCTCCCAGAAATCAACTGGTCCATAAATGTTTCCTTTATACATGTATATAATATAAACATCACTGCCAGAGATGCAAAAAGTTCATAGCAGTGTGTGAATGATCTAATGATTGGACCCCTGATTGCAGCCGGTCCCCACATGTCAGCAGAACTAGAGGCCCCAAAACCACGTTTGGCTGGGGGCCCATGGAGGCTGGGGCCCCATGGAGGCTGGGGGCCCATGGAGGCTGGAGGCCATGGAGGCTGGAGGCCCATGGAGGCTGGGGCCCATGGAGGCTGGGGGCCATGGAGGCTGGGGGCCCATGGAGGGGGGCCCCATGGAGGCTGGGGGCCCATGGAGGCTGGGGGCCATGGAGGCTGGGGGCCATGGAGGCAGGGGGCCATGGAGGCTGGGGGCCATGGAGGCTGGGGGCCCATGGAGGCTGGAGGCCCATGGAGGCTGGGGGCCCATGGAGGCTGGGGGCCCATGGAGGCTGGGGCCCATGGAGGCTGGGGGCCCATGGAGGCTGGGGGCCCATGGAGGCTGGGGCCCCATGGAGGCTGGGGGCCCATGGAGGCTGGGGCCCCATGGAGGCTGGGGGCCCATGGAGGCTGGGGGCCCATGGAGGCTGGGGGCCATGGAGGCAGGGGCCATGGAGGCTGGGGGCCCATGGAGGCAGGGGCCATGGAGGCAGGGGGCCATGGAGGCAGGGGCCATGGAGGCTGGGGGCCATGGAGGCTGGGGCCCATGGAGGCTGGGGCCGGCCCTGGACTGGTGATTTCTGACATGAATGATATGGGCAAATGCCCAGGGCGTTATCTTTTCAGATACGGTTGGTTCAATTGATTTCAGCTCTAAGTATTTAATATCTGGGTGTTTTTATGGGAATGTGAGTCTTTCAGATCAATTTGATTTGCAATTTTGATCACATTTCACATTTTATTATGTCATGTACTGCAGGCCGCTGGTCTTGGTCTGGACTCGGTTTCGGGTCAGGTGGTCTTGACTACAACACTGCCATTTTTGTTCTGAACCGAGGCGACCCGATGACTGGACCTGAGTGTTCAGAAATCAGTCAATTAATGAAACCTAAAGCAGAACAGAACCTTTTTCTGAGCTAATAGAACCGACTGTGTTCATCAGAACCTTTCAGCTGAGTTTTTCTGAGGTTCTTCTGCAGTCTGAGTGGAACCGGGTCAGCTTGGTTTTATTGGTGAGATGTTCTGTAGAGAAACCAAACGCTGATCTTTGCTCCAACCGACAGTTTATTTATTTGTACAGGACACATTGAACGGGCCAAGGTTCTAACAGGACCCGGATGAATGTTCTGATTGGACTGCCGGTCCGGTTCTAGTTCTTGTCTCCGTTGCAGCGGTCTGTGTGGCAGCAGGTCCAACCGGTCGGGAGCAGTTCTCCAGCCGAGTGCAGCCTTTCTCTCCGTTATCTGCAGGCAGAAAACCCATCAGAACCTCTGCTGGACCGGACCACGGTTCGGTCCAGCAGAGGTTCTGGCTCTGGCTACAAGTCCAGAACCAGGTTGGGTTCTGTTGGTCCAGAACATCTGGTGCCAAAGTAAAGAACCTCTGTGTTATTTCTGAGCAGGATGTTGTTTAAATCCCAAATTAAATAAATTTCTAGGATTTCCTCCTTTAATCTCTGGAATAAACGATCAACTTCCTGTCCAGCGGCGAAGCTGATGATCTATAATCTGATCCATGAACCTCGAATGCTTCATCAGGAAGTTCATTCAATAAAGTTAAAGCCATTAACTGATCCAAATGATGGTTCTGCTGGAGGTTTCTTCATGTTAAAAGAGACTTTCTTGTCTCCTTTGTCGCCCTCTGCTGGTCAGGAGGAGTGACTGACCTCTGGTGTAGCAGGCCTGTTGGACCTTTCCAGTGCACTGCAGCAGCAGGTTGTTCACCATCAGGAAGTCTTCTCCATAGCAGCTGATGTGGAACTGCTGAGCTGCAGAACAAACATGACAACCAGTCAGAACCCGCCTGACCCAGAATATCCGGAGCAGTCTGGACCACAGAGGCAATATTTCACCACCAGAGGGCGCCTGAAACACACCAAGAACTGCTGCAGATGTTCATTGTTCCTGATGTGAAGCTCTCAGAGCACAACACCTGGAAACACCTGGAAAAGTACTTGGGGAAAATACCTGGAAAGCCCTTTAACCCCTGACCCATTTGACCCATTTAGCAGAACCATCCTGGACGGATCCAGTTCTGTCGCATCCAGAACTAACTGAGCCGTTCAGAACCAGAATCTCTCCAGGCGGACGGCAGAGCCTCCTGGACATTCTCCCACAATGCACTGGGGTTCGTCACATTGCATTGTGGGAAATTATTCCTCCTTGGTCATCTGCTATGGATCCACTGTGGCCCAAAGATGACCCTAGACCTTTAGAATTGACCTTTCATTTCTCTGCGGGTCGTTCTGGGTGCCACGGAAACCGTTCGTATTATTGCTGTCATCAGTTTCCATCCTGCACCTTGGAGGCCTTTAACTAGGCCGTCTGAGCAGCATCTCTGTGGTGGAAATATTTAATCTTTCCGTTTTTCTCCACGTCTGTTTCACTAATTAGTTTTTTGTTCAATTCTGTTGAACAATTCAGAATCGACCTCCAGTTTCTATTTCTTATTTGTTGGTTTGTTTCAATCATTTTTTTCTGTTTCAAACGATTTCACCGATTATTGATTAACTGATGTAATGGTAATAATTCAGTAACATTGAGCTCAATAATTTTTTACAAACATTAAATGTTTTGATTTGTGGCGCAGGCTCTAGTACCGAAGATCCCGACCAGAACCACCTCTGGAGAATCTGGATGATGCTCAGATGTTTTGCCTGTTTTAACACCCAACTTGGCTCTCAGAACCAGAGTTCTGTTAATCCAATTAAAGTTCAGCAGAACATCCAGGATTCAGGTCAGAACCAAGTCAGAACCTTTAGCAGAAAACCAGGAGGACCTTGGTTCTGACCACAGTCAGGTTCTGGTTTGGCCGAATACTTCCATGTTCTGACTATTCTGCTTGTTTCTGGTTTTGATTTCTTATAGTTCTGACTGGTTCTGATGGGATGCGGAGTTGTTCTTACCGGAGCAGATTGACAGCAGCAGCAGCAGCAGGTAGACCTTCATGGTTCTGGTTCTTTGGGTCCAAAAGGCTCAGAAAATAGAAACTGTGGTCCGAGTGGAACGAAGTTGGACTTTTATCGTCTGCTGGGGAAAGATAAGAAAAGCAAACAGTTGTGGACCCATGAACTCCAGGTCAGAACCAAAGTCAGTTTAGATCTGCTGAGTCATGGTTTCTGCTGTCCGGGTTTCTGCTGAGTCAGGGTTCAAACTTGTAGAGCTTCAGTGTGATGTCACTGCTCTAGGCGGAGGGATCTGAGCGCCATCTTGTTTGGCCACAAATATAACAGAGAAAAGAACATAACCGACTGACTCACAGATATTATTTGAAGTTACTTAGAATAATTTAGCGATGGTACAAACTTGCTGCATTATTGGGTGAATGTTCCATCACACGATTGAAACAGCAAAAAAATGGAAAATAGACTTTTGTTTCACAGTTTTCCTGCCTGGAAACAACAACAGGGCGCTACGCTATCGGAGCTAACGAAAAGGAGACGAATGTCCTGCTATCAGCAGTGAGACGTCCTAATATAACCTTCTCCTAAAAGTTTGCTCCAGACATTTCCATTCAGGTGATGCTTTGCTATGATTTGTCCGGGTCACTCATGTTCAGTCATGTTGAGTTCATTTAAGTGGGTCAACCTTGTTTAGGTCGGGCTTATACTTTTTATGTAGCGTAGTCTGAGTTTTGTCAGTGGACATCGAGGTTTTTCCATTATTGCAAAGTAAACTATTTTGGTTTTCTAGTGTTATAATTTACAGTATCAATACTGATGTGTCCTGATATCTCCTCTTCAAGGCAAACCGTCCTATGAAATGGATGAGCTCAACCCAGACTGGGTTCCAACACTGAATCTGGGTCACTGCCAGGTAAACGCCACAACATCAGACCAACATGGACATCAATTAAAGAGGTGATACAGCAAGACCACGGAGGATCAACAAGTGAGGGAGCAAGTTACAGAAACACCAGAAGAGCTAAATAATGAAAACACAGGCTGTAGAAGAGGAGCTCAACCCAGTCCAACTTTGTTCCCTAACTCTGAAGATCACACTGCAAATAAATACTTGTTGGATTTAATATATTTCAGGTAAGTGAACATGTAATGAAATAGATCCTGTCAGTGAAAATTACAGGTAACAAATGTGGCGACCACCTGAGGTAATACATTTCATAGAAAAATTGCTATACAAAAATAAGTGCAAATATTAGTGTAACTGGTACAATGTGCCAGTGTTGCTTAGCATGAGCCACGGTGTGAACGGAGGCTCAGAGTCTCTGAGTGCATAAACTGCAAACACACAATTTGAAAAGATGAAAAGACAGAAACATTTAAAAAATGTATGCATGTGAATCTGCAGGTAGTTGAACTGTCAATTATTCCAATTGTCAATTATTATAGAAGAATAACGATGACATTGTGATGTCAAAGAGGTTATCAGTTACCAAAGCTGAAGTTCTGATTGTAGTTCTGATTGAGCTCTTACCTTGTTCCAACCACAACGTGTCGCAAGTCGGGGGTAAAAATGTCCAAATCATGAACCCAGCCATTCGTAAACTGGACTTGTGCCTCCATTGACTTATAATGGAAGCACCGACACCACAGACCAGGTGTGAAAAGTTATCTGGGAATGTCAGATGAGGCAAATGTTCAGGGTCTCTGCTCCATTATTTCAAACGGGTCGATATGTCAAATTTTAGCTACTTTTCCATGTTTTTGGCTTCTGGGAGAAGCTTTTCGCGATATGACCCTCTGTCTTTCAAACAGCTTTCAGCATTATGGAAGAGGAGGATAACGCAATAAAAACACCAGAAAAAGTTTGTTTTGGTCTGTGGCCAAACAAGATGGCGACGTAAACGTCCCACGCAGTGACGTCGGCTCTAAAGCTCTACAGGCAAAAAGAGCAAAACAAAGAGGAACTGAAGGCCAGCAGGTTTAACGAGAGGATCAGTAAGGAGTGAGACGGTTTGAGGTTAAATGCTGGGAGAACAGAGCGGAGCTGATTGGCTAACGAGGACAGAGAGAAAGTGGCACAGTGGGCGAGGGAGGGTAAACAAATGTAACCATGGTAACAAACAGCTGCAGGTTGACACTCTAAATTAACAATATTTCTTAATGTGATTCAGACCTGCTTGTGTTGTCATTTAATTAAAACATTAAAAGTTATTTTGCTTGAATATTAATGTTTATATTA